TTAGAATAAAGGAGGGGGACGAATGGAAGACTATGAATACTTAGTCATGCCCTTCGGACTCTCTATCGCCCCCTCGGTCTTTCAGGCGTTCATTAACGACGTGTTAAGAGACATGCTAGAGAAGTATGTCATTGCTTACCTCGATGATATCCTCGTGTGCTCCCCAGATAAAGCCACACATGTTCACCATGTTTGTTCGGTCTTGCACAACAATTTGTTTTTTAAGGCAGAGAAATGTGAATTCCACCTAGAATCTGTTTCATTTCTAGGTTACATCGTTAGTGCTCAGGGCGTCATCATAGATGACCATAAAGTAGATGCAGTTATTCAATGGCCTGTTCCTGTCTCTGTCAAGGAACTACAGAGATTTCTAGGTTTTGCGAATTTTTACCCCCGTTTCATCCGTAATTTCAGCACTATTGCAGCTCTACTTACATGACTGCTAAAAGGTGGTCCAAAGAAGCTTAGGTGGACTGAACAAGCAGAAAGTGCATTTAAGGAGTTAAAGAAAGCATTCACTAAAGCTCCCATTCTTAAACACCCAGACCCGTCTGAGCCTTTTGTAGTAGAGGTAGATGCCTCTGAAACAGGTATAGGAGCTGTTCTATCCCAATGCTCTGGTAATCCTCCCAAGTTACACCAAGTTGCCTTTTTCTCCCATAAATTATCCCCTGCAGAAAGGAATTATGGCATCGGAGACAGGGAACTACTTGGACCCAGGGCTCATTGCGGAATTCCACAGCCGACATACTGGGAAGCCTGCTCCTCCTCAACCTAGGGGTCGCCCGCGAAGGGGTCTCTCCAGTTCTCTCCCTGATTGTCTTAGGGGTCCTCGTGAAGGACACCCGTCTGTCCAGCACTTCGGTGGCTCTGGTTCTGCCCCTGTTTGGAGGTCTGGCGGTGGCCGGTGTGGTCGCCCTGGTCGGCCTCACTCCACGGCCTCCCGGGACTCTTTGGGTACTGTCACGCATCGACCGAACTCCCTTGTGGATTCGGACTCAATCTCCCAGAATCCTCTGGGAGATCACATGACTTCCGAGCTTCCCGTAGGCAACGACACTGAGACGGACTCTATATCCCAAGAACCTCTGAGGAATCACATGACTTCTCACGTGACTCCGCGCTCCTATCAGCGCTCTAGATCTCCGGAGTATTGATGTGATTTACCTGTGTTAGTTGTCATATGACACAGTTTAGCATATAAGCCTGGGCTTTAGCTTAGAAAAGTTGTGAGGTATTGTATCCACTACTGTGATCTACTGAGTGTTTTTCTGTTGTTGTGTATTCCGTGTATGATTTTTGCCTTTCGTTTTCTCGACTCTGCCCTTTTTGCTCTGCCCTTTGGATTTTTTTGCACTGATTCTGATCTTGGATTTTGACCAATTGCCTGCACCTTCGACCACGCTTCTGCCTTTCCCTTTTTGAATTTGATGCATTGTCTGATGTATGTCTGTGTGTATTTCTCATGCCTTCTGGATCTGAACACTGCCTGGTTTTTGATGACAACTTTGAACTTTGTTCCTATCAATAAAGCCCTTTCTGTAAGTTACATCTGCGAGCGGCTGACTCTGCTTGAAACCTTACAGTACGATTATGTTGTTTAATTTTCCAGTTTTATTCTTGTTTCTAAGTTATGCTACCAATGTTCTTTCATTTCTATTTTTCTATTTTACTACTTTGTTGCGAAGCTCTTTGAGCTGCATTTTATGAATGAAAGTTCATAAAATGTTTAAATATTATGTGTTTGTTCTGATTCCAGTTTAATACAGATCAAACATAATTTACTAATCCCGGCTTTCGCTTTTTTATCACCATGTCACAACTTTTTTGACACTGAGTTAGTATAAATAATCAAATACATTTAATGCAAAAATGTCAGAAGAAACAAATGAAACAAATTTAAAAAGATTGATTTGTGAAATGTCAGCATTAATTATTATTAACATTAATTATAAATTATTACTATAAAATGTCAGTTCTACAAAATTTTTAACATATTTTATTGTCTGTGTTGAGCAGATAGCAATGCTACAATTTTGCAGTTGGGTCATTTTACAGCCTGACAGATTAGTCACTGATCTTCACAAAGAAAAATAAATAAACCCCTTTTTTAGTTTGGATTGGCTGAAACTCATCTTAAATATTGAGATTGCACAGAATGACTTAACTGATCTGATCACTTCTCATTTCTTGAGATTTGGATTGATGTACTATTTAATGTCTACATACTATATCTTACACTAAATGCTGTGTTTCAAAATTCAAAATTGATTTTGACCCTGTGTTGTCTTTGTGTATGTCTTATTAACACATAAATTACAGATGTGTTATGACTCCTTCACTGTTTAATCATTTTTGAACATGAGGTATATAACTATACACAACATATAAAAACAGTAAACGGTAAATAGATAAATGCTGAATTAATAAATGAACCTTTAAAATGCTCAAGAAAGTCTGTATCATTTGGGGTATGCTTTATATTTCTGGTTATTGGGGAAAATATTTTGTTTGAATTTCCATGTAATTGGTAACAGGCTTTAGCAGGAGCTTCAGTGTTTGTAAAGAAGTCATTAAAGTCATTAAGAAGTCCTCTTTAGAATTTGTCTAACAAACGTGACGCCCTTAAAAAAAAAAAGAAAAAAAAAGAAAAAGTATGTTTCTGTTTTGATAATGATACAAGAAAAGAGAAAAAAGTATGTTCAAAGAAGAAAAGAAAGAAAAAGCGTGTTTCTAACTGTGTTGATACTGATCAAACACTACATTTCTCTATATGAGCCATTACTGTGTGATCGATTGGTCGAGCCTGTGGTCGATGTGCGATTAGTTCGGACTGGGCGCGGGAACCTAGAGAATGCACGTTTAGCTTGCATCCCTTATAAAGTGATACAGCTGTGAGCAGCACGCCTCGTGTCCTGTGTTTGCTCTAACACAAATATTCTCTATCGTTCCCCCTCTCAGGTACAAAATATTTGTAGAAAATTGCAAGTATGGTGTTTAAAGAAGCGTTCTTGTTTGTGAAATCTTGTTTGACTGTGGTTTTAATAGCGTATTTACTGACTTTTTGTGACGTTTCTAAACTGCAAGTCACTAGCTTAGCTCATTGACCTGGTGCTCTGATAAAAGCTACAGGAGAAAAATAAGCTACCCAGGTTCGTTCTAAGGGGTTATGTGCTCATTTAACAAGAGACTTGTATAACTGTTGTAAGTTTTACTCATGTTCCACTGTTCATATTTTGTATGGAAACTATTTTACTGTACTTTAGTAATTTTGCACTGAGCTATACTTATGGGGTGAGTAATGTTAAAAGGCTAAGTAGCTCAGCTAAACATTGCGAAGTGCCTGTTGTTTATTGTTAAGCCTGTTGTGATGTATAGATTTTCTGCTCTAGTTTATGTGTTCAAAATGTGACTGATATAGAGCTAAATTGAGGTATATGGAGTTCAACAGCTTTAAGTACCAAGTTAATTAGGTACTATCGTTCTGTGTAAGTGAAAATTGTGGGAAACATGGGGAAAGGACTAAAATTCTGCTACTTGTGATTGTGCTAAGCTAAAAGTGAGTAACCATACTATGAATATGTATTGAGAGGACTAGTTGAGAGCTTCTGTATTTACTTTGCATATTCCTTTCCTTTTGAAAAGTTGTGAATTGAATGTATGTGTGTTAGCTCAGCACATGAACAGTGTATGCTTTTCTGATGCGCTATAAAGGGAGTTTAATGCAACGAATCCTAATTCTATGCATAATATCAGATGACTTATAAATGATACAGATGACTTATCACTGATACAGCTGTGAGCAGTACGCATTGTGTCTTGTGTTTGCTCTAAAACTAAATATTCTCTATCATTCCCTCTCTCAGGGGCATAACACAAACATGTCATGCACTGATTTTATAATAGTCAATAAACATATTATAGCATTGATTCTTTTGAAGATTGTTTTTTATTTAATGGGTAAGTATTCTAAAAGTATTTTCCTAAAATGCAAAAAGTAACTTTATTCTGAATACACTGTCTTTACAAAATGCAATTGGACTGAATACGTATTCTTAATTTTTTACTTTAACTTGCTGTTTTGGATCAATATATTAGTTTTAATATTGTGACAAATATGTAAATATCAATATAAATGTAAAAAAATAAAATATGTTCAGGCTGTGGTTTTCTCTTTGGTTCTTTATGGACGTGAAAGCTGGACAATAAGCAAGACAGGCAGGAAAAATACTGATACTTTGGTGTTGGTGAAGACTTTAGAGAGAACCTCAGACAGCAAACAAAACAAAACAAATCAAGCCCAGCTACAAAATGGATGGAGACAATGAGAGGAATCATGAACCAGCCATTAAAAGACCTGAAGACCTCAATAGAAGACAGGATATTCTGAAGGAACACTATCCATAAAGTCACAGGACCATGTGTCCACATGCCTGAGCTTAAATAAACAATAAATATGATGTAAAATTAGTGAATTGGGTGCCTAATGAAAAAAACTATAATTCTCTCGTTGTTTTTTTGGACATAACATTTGGAAATGAAGCTCATAGGTTATAATAAGATGTTTGTTTGAATCTATAGGTGATTATCCTAATAGTTCAACCTTTCATTTTAAAATTTCCTCTAATCACTCTGTGTCTTGAGCTGCTCAGCTACACTGTAATGCAACTACAACCATGTTTCACCCATAAAATGTGATCAGCCTTAATCAGCCTGCATTTTATATGACCAGATTTCTTTCTTTTAAAGTCAATTAAATTAAATTTAGAACAAACAGCTTACAGGATCATTTGTTACTGCATTCAAGAATGTATAGTGTGCTCTTAAACTAAATTTGAACTGAGTTTATGGATGGCTCAGCAGTCTGAGTTTGTCATCTATATTTATATCTGTTTATTTTTTTCATCAATTTATCAATAATTTACTGAGCTTCTGCATTGCTCATATAGCTGGCAAATGACAAGTGACAAATAAACACATGACCACTGAGAGGAACATACCTGCTGGCTTGACATTCTTCACAGCATCTGCAACCGCACTGATAAAACAGTGCTCCAAAAAAAATGATGGCGATGACACTAAAAACTATGATCTGGAAAAAAGACAACACAGTATTGTCAGTATTGTCTATATACACCTACCAAAAAAACACCTCCTTGTAGACACAGCAGTGCTGCTGAAGTTTTTAAACACCTCAGTGTCGCTGAACCAACAGCGTCCTGTGACCACTGATGAAGGACTAGAGGAGGACCAACACAAACTGTACAGCAGCAGATGAGCTACTGTCTCTGACTTTACATCTACAAGGTGGACTGACAAGGTAGGAGTGTCTAATGGAGTGGACAGTGAGTGGACACAGTGTTTAAAAACTCCAGCAGCACTGCTGTGTCTGATCCACTCAGACCAGCACAACACACACCACCATTTCAGTGTCACTGCAGTGCTGAGAATGATCCATCACCTAAATAATACCCGTCCTGTGGGGGTCCTGACCACTGAAGAACAGGGTAACAAAGTATGCAGAGAAACAGATGGACTCCAGTCTGTAACTGTAGAACAACAAAGTGCTCCTATATGGTCAGTGAAGCTGATAAAATGGACAAATAGCATAGAAACAAGAAGCTGCACTTAATGAAGTGGCCAGTTGGTGTATAATTCTCAGCCAAAATGGCCATTAAGTATAAGTTACTTACTTCCCAGCATCAGGAAAACAAGCAAAAAACACATTTAATAGAAAATCATATAGTAACTAAATCTAATATCATCTGATTTAGTATTTAATGTGTCCACCTTTGTAACAACTTCCATTCTCTTCAGAGACTCACTTTCAGTCCCTCAAAGATCTGAAGCAGCTTGATTTTCTCCTCTCTCTCAAAGATGAAAGCTTTAAGTGCTGTTTATCTGATGGGGGCAGATTTGGGGTCGACCAGCTCTTCCAGGTGGTTGTTAGGAGGAACATTTTCTCTGGAGCTTTTAATCAGTTTTTGAACTCAAGTTTTGGAACCTTTTTTCACTTATTTTTCTTTGATTTTCTTCTTTGTTATGCAGGTGGTATTATCGTTTATCTAATCTACTCAGAAAAAGAAATCTCTTTAAAAAAAGAATGACATACTTATTGTGACTAGTATATTAAATAAATGAAAGGTGGGTAACCAGGAAAAGCTCTCCAACCAGGCACAATTAAAAGCTTTCTTTTGTGTTGAAATACTGAGGTGAACATTGAGCCAATATCTGTAATATATTTTTTTTTGAGGAAAAACAAAAACAACTAAATGCCAGTTGTGCTATTTTGTTTTTGAAGCATCCATGCTAGTTAGGTAACACATTTGCAAAATAAGAAGTTATTAACGGCAAAATGTCTCTCTTATTGGAAAATGAAGTACAATATTTTTTGTTACAATAAATTCAGTAATAGTACTACATAAGTTGGTAACTTAACTAATGCCTTTGATTAAGTGGTCTAACTTGCATTTTGGTGGGCTGCAAGTGGTTACCCCCTAACGTTGGCATTACTCTACTGCTCCATTAGATCATAATTATATTGTAACTAAATTCAGTTTTTGAGATAAAAACAGAGTGATTCAGAGTGGTTTGGTGTGAAATGGTTCAGATGTCTTTACAGTGGTGGTGATAGGAACCAGGGGTCACCATGACTACAACACAAATATAGACATCTTATTTACTATCCAGAACCACCAGTGAACCTACACGAGTCTTCTGAGTTTATATGGAATGTTGATGATGGTAAAATCTAGTAAATAAAAATATGTTCTGTTTAGAGTACTGATACTTGTTTCTCTGTGAGTTTGCTTGTTTGTGTATCGCTGTGCATGTATTGTTTGTGTATGTTGTGAATTTTTATGCTTTGCTGGTTCTTACTTTGTTTTCTGTAGTCTAGTTCATTTGAACATGTAAATTATGTACGTTTAGGATTTCTCAGGGAACAAACTGTAACCATTCTTTGTAATAACTTTTTTCTTTTAGAGGCATTAAACTCTTCAGATGTCTGGTTTCTATCACCACCACTGTGAACAATTCCAAGTTTCTCTAAAACAGAGCATTTTATACCAAACTACTCTGACTGACATTATTTGCATCTCAATGATTTAGTTATGCAGAAATTGTGAAAAATCAGTGGATTTCTCCTTTAAGTATGAGTAGCTTACCTTAGATATGTAAAATGATATCTGTACATGATACTGCTCTTCGGTCAGTGTTCGGTTTTTGTCACACCATTCCCACGGAGGCAGCGCATTGGTGTCAACATGATCTTCTTTTAGTGTAGTGATCAAACAAGCCACAAATCTGCCATCACCAAAAAACAAGGTCAGCCAAAAAACAGATGGAGCTGCACAGGTGAGAAATTTCCCAAAGCATTTGCAATGACTCTGAGGCTCAGACCAGAGTTTGGAGTTCCACATGTAAACGCCAAAATTCAGAGTAATCAGCAGGGGCATCACTAAGTACAAAAAGAAAAATCCTACCGAATATCCAGATCTACAGGGGCACACAAAGTCTTGCTCGACAAGTTTTTCTAAAACAATGAGAACAAGGTTGACTATCACGTAATTACGCCACGGGTGGTCTTTTAAAGTTCAATCAGTCTCCCCAGCGCCATTTCTAAAGAATGTAACACAAAACTGCCAACGTTGAATCTACACTAGTCCCTTAGGGCCGAGAACAGCTTTAAGACCGAAACAGACTGCTACAGTAAGATAAGGTCATGTCCCTACAAGAGAAAAACAGGAAGCTGTGTCATCATCACAGACACACACTGCTGTTAATGCTTGTTGATGCAGAATTTGCTATGACTTTGTGATCATACAAGAACAAGTTTTGAACTAAAGTAATTCCTGGGGCTGTTCGTTTTGGAGCAGACTCTGATTCCAATTCCAAGGGTCAGAAATTGATAATTATTTTAGGAATTGATTATTATTGTTGTTGTAGTAGCACTAGTATGTATACATAGAAAGCCTGATGTTTAGAATAATAAACATTTTAGTGTTCTTTTGAAATAAAAAAGCTTACATTTAAAAGTCAAATTGCACAGGACTCTTATTATGATAGCACTGCAGTTTCTGTTGAACACAAGTGAGGTTTTTGTAAGTGCTGGGAGTGAAGAGCAATTAATTCTGCGTTCTCAGTGGATTAGTTTGATAATTCTGTTAAAATTTTAATTCTGACTCACTGTATCTGCCATGATCTGCCATGTGTGATGCCTGAGCAGACCCCCAGGCCAATACTGTGAGACCGCTGACAAAAATAAAGGACTGTTTCACTCCAGTACTACAGCACTAATGTGGAGACACAGTTAGCTGACTCGCTAACTACTCTGAGCTAAGTAGGTACAGTGTTCTTTTACTGTGTTTGTTTTACTGTGTTGTTTCAGATAAATAAGCATGATAGTGCTTTATTAAACCTAAAGCTGCTACTTATGTTCTGTTATGAGTGCATGTTAGCTAGTTAATTTAGCTAATGTGAGCTAAGCTAATGAGCAGCAAAACTTTGTACTTCAGAAAACTTCAGCTATGAAAAAGAAGGAATAGGGCATAAGAATACAGCAGACTGTCTCAGCTCTCAGACTTTCTCCTTTAGTATTAATAACAGGTTTTGATTTCATTTTGTTTGTGCGCGTTATTTTCATGCATGATATCATGATATCACCGACTCAGGAATATTTTCACATTTTGACTGTTCACAAATGAAAAAGGACTCAACAAACAATTTGACTCTTACTTTTTCAAAATGTCTTTATGAATATTTTTGTACAGTAGTACATCTTTCTTTAGGAATTTTTATATTCATGTGTTTCATTTTATAATACTGTT